AGGGGTGTGGGGGGGGAGGTATGGTCAGATAACCTCATGACCGACAATCATTGGGAGGCCTTCGTCCAGCAGCGGAATTGACACGGGGGCCCTACGTTGGTTGATATTTTGTTAAACGATCTTGACGCCAATCGTCATTACAGGAAAAGCGGGTTTAGAGTGCTATGCATTTAAAATGTAGAGTTAAACATAGAAAGTGACTGCATCACCGTCATTAGGCTAGCCGTGTTCGTTCGGTTTGCCACGTTCATTAGGCAAGCATGATCATTAGTCACAATCAACGTTTTTGGGTTTAGATCGCGTTATTTATAAATGTGTCGTAACCCTCCACCACCCGACACGGCCAATCAGCACATAAAGTGTCACGTTGACAAAAGACAAATAGTTCACTGCTTTAGCCCACCTGGTGTGTTGAAGCGTGAAACCACAACATTTACAATTTTTGAGTACGACGTTTCGCTGATAATTGCATCCAGCATCATCGGGCAATTCGCCAGAATGGTGAGGCTCTGCTTTGGCTACCGGTCTTAAATAGAGCATTATCAGGGTGACGTCATCATTAGGTTAGCCATGTTCATGAGGTTAGCATGTTCATTAGACTAGCATGTGCATGAGCTTAGCATTTGCATTAGGGCTAGCATGCACAAAATTCGTGTTCTTTGTTCGTTCAAGTCTTTCTTGTAAAGGATGGAAGTGTTACGCCGTGTGCTGGCCCGGGAGCTCCGTGTGTGGTGCATTGTTTGTGGATTCTCTCAGCAGCGCTGTAGATATTTTACGATAAAAAAAAAACCGAACCACGCTAAACGTCGACGGCCCCGTTGCTGTGTGCAGAATGACTTGTCTAACTGCGCTTGCTATTGGAGCTTTTGATGGATATGTTTTGTTTTAACAGCTTATAACTCATTGAGACGTCGAGTCTATTTTGCAAGGGTGACTGGGTCAAATTTTACCCAAATTGACCGCAAATAAAGTGTAATAGCAACAAAGTATTGTTTTCGAGGTTTGTGCTGTTTAGCTCCCTTGATGTGTCTTCGGGTTGTGCATTGTTTGTTGTGAATATCCCGTGCCTGATGAAGCTTCCAGACGTGGAGTGAAACGTCAGACAATGCTGAACAGAACACGGTACAACCCAAAGACACATCAAGAGAACAACAACGGCCACCATTCCCGACCAAGTTAGAATATTTACTTAGACTGGAGGTGGAGGAATCCAATGAGCTATGCAGCTCTTTTTCACAGATGTCCAGTCGACGTGTGTCCAGTAAAGTCGCGGTGACATCGCAGCTCGTGTACCAGACTAGGTGTACATCGAGGCCACATGGGGTGATGTCTCGACGGCTCGCTGGCCGGAGGTCCCAGGTTAGACCCAGGTGTTATGGGTTCACTGACGACCGAGATGGCTGTCAAATGGAGTGCATTGGAAGCCTGACGTACAAAGCTAACGCAATGGAACAAGTCGACTGCACAATGAGCAAAGCGAAGCTATGTCAAAACCTGGAAAAAATTAACCCGTAAAAACAAAGTTTTTCACTATAAATCCTTTATATGCGTGGCGGCTAGAGTCCTCTCGTCCTCTGGCTTGAGATGGCTGCCACCTATGGGTCAGATGATTGCCTGGCAGCATTAAGCAATTGGTAATTAAATGTAAAAAAAAAATTCCTAAAAAGTGTAAAATTTTGCAAAAAAATGTTCACCAAAATTAATTGTCACGCATAACGAGTCTGTGTGGAAAATGTCAGCTCGATTGGATCACGGGAAGTGGGTTAAAAAACGACCGAAAGATTTGCACGGTCGTAAGCACGCAAGCAAGCAAGCGAACTTAATATAAAGGATTTAAATAAAAAAACGACCGAAAGATTTGCACGGTCGTAAACGCGCAAGCAAGCAAGCGAACTTAATATAAAGTATTTAAGAAGGGCCACTTTAGTTTTCTAGCTGTGGTTGTCTCACCTGATGAAGGTTGCTTGTGTTGCGATCGAAACGTCGTGATTTGTTTTATGTTATTTCTACCTACGTGACTTTACCGAAAGAACCAAAGAGTATGGATGTCTACAGTCACGAAAGCTTCAAATCAAGATTGAAATCAACACACTTTTGAAAATGGGTAAAAATTCACAAATCAAAATGCCTTCGGTGCTCTGTAGAATCAGTGACGTGAACAACAATAACATTTTTGTCGGCCCACTTGTAATACCGGACGCTAGATCCTACCCAATATGGGAATTTATAACCCCCTCTCCAGAACGAGGTGAACTTTGCATATGGGCGTAATTCACTGGAACAATTCCATTGGATCGCATTGCTTTGATGGACGACCTTTTACACAAATAATTAGAGTAGCTGTAAGGTGGCCTTTGAGTAAATGGTGCATGATGTTGAGACTAGGAATGTCATATAAGGATTGGGTGAGCAACCTTTGAATGGCACGTGGTGGGAAAATATGTTATCGTTGTCGTGAAAGAGGTGGTGATGATTGGGGCACCATGTACAGGATGCAGCAAGGTGCTTAACAAGACCGGTATTACAAGTGGCACCCATTAGGAAGACCTCGTTCGAGTTTATTTTGTTGAGCTTGGTGAAAACTCTTGTTGAGACTGGGTTAGTCTCATTGGTGATGACGGGACCGTAAGTGCCGGTGCTTGAATGTGCGGCCTTGACTTTGTCACAACCGTGGGTCGCTCGAGGAAGGAAGCCTTATTGAGGTGCTGTGGCACCATCGGCATTGGCCATGATTACCTCCTCGTAACCTCTTGACCTTGAACTCTCACGCAAAGTACAATCAAGCAAGCATGCCGAAACTCGTGGCCTGTTGTGGCAAGATTATGGATGGGTGTTAACATTCTAGATATTCGCCCAGCTACTGCTAAAGCCTCACCCATCTCGTCGCCAGATGGTAGAGGCAGTTACTGTCAACTTTCACCACGAGACAACACAGGACTGGAGTTATTGGAGTTTCCATTTTCGGACATGAGACTTTAAGGTTGAGCACCACGGCTGGGGCTGTAATGGGACACAGAAAGCGGGACTGCATTCCTAAAATAGATATCGGAAAGTTTAACCATTGCGTTACAAGTGGTCCACAGGAAAGTAAATGAATAATAAGTAAACACGGGGACGTATATAAAATATAAATCAATAATAGACACACGATATACTTCAGGCAATGGCCCTTTAAACATTTAAAGCGATTATCCTAAAACATAATCGTTACGTTGGAAGCCAATGTTCTTGATTCAAGTGGCAGAGTTTTATATATATGTATATATGCAAATGACATGCCCCTTATTAAGCCGAGACCCAATAATGTTATTTTCTCCTCCGCCATTGAGAGGGTACATCCCGAACATAGCGGTGGCACAGTGGTTCTGGGATCCAGTCATCCCGAGTTTGATTCCCGCCCACGGCGAACATTAGTCATGAGTCACAACCAATCTGCTGGTCTTGCAAAACCGCATTGACCACCGTAGTGAAGTATGTTCAAACAACCCCCCCGTGAGACCGAAACTACGTGGGGAGGCCTTCATCAAGCACTGGATTGACAAATGGCTCAATTATTCCTATAATGCATTGACCACCGTGATGAAGTATGGTCAAACAACCCCCGCAAGAGAAACTGTGTGGCAGCCATCATCCAACAGTGGATTGACAAATGGCTGTACAGTCCAGTATTCCAGTCGCAAACTATTCAAACATCGCTCGCCGCTGACGTTTTTTCCGTGTCCGTGGAATCGAACTCGGGCGGCGCGAGGTTCAGTGCCCAGTTTTTTTGCGCGGTTGTTGCTGCTGCCCCGATTTGACCCCAGTTCGGGAACAATCTCTAATTCGCCATCTGCCGCGACGTGTTGCAGAGGTTCACACGGTTTCGATTTTCAGCGGCCGCCCTGGTTAATACTGCGGGTGCATCCATCAAACGTGAAAATCCGCGCGCCGTCTTGCTGCACGGTGTGGACCTTAACAGATCCCTTCGACGGCATTCGCGAGAGTGCGTGCCGGCATCGTGTCAAAAATGTTGCATGCTTGAAAAATTACCCCGCAATTTTACATCAATTGGGATTAAGACATCACCCCCCCCCCCCCCGCTGAGAAAAACCCTGACAAGGACCCTCCTGAAAAGAAAACAAAATATCCCGGGACTCATTGAGGCATGGTGCAAATGTTTACAATCTGAAAAATGACATCGAAAATTACTCGGTCGGAAATGCACACAGCAAGTGTGAAAACGTTGGCAGGACCCTCTTGAAAAAGGGGTCACAGGACTCAGCGCATGAATGTATATTGAACTTCTTTCGCACCGTACGTAGCCAACCGTGCTAATCGGGGCGGTAGGGGGGGGACAACAAACAGTGAGGCTGTTCCTCGGTAGCCCAAGCTACCGGATTAAGCTAGTGCGGAGCCTGTAGCATATATCATAAAGGGGTCCTAAATAAAAAAATAAACACATGAACATTAAAACACAAAAAACTTTTTACTTGCATAGTAAAGTAATTGTATTTTTTTGCATTTGCTATACAGCCAGATAATACGACAAATCGCTCACCTTAAACACCCAGTCGTTCATAAAAGTTGAAGGCGGTATAGTACTATAGTAATAGAGCAAGTGCAGAATCACTGAACCGGAATGGATAGCTTGAAAGCGTTTCGCGTGGGGCCCTTGAAAGCGCGGGGCCCACGGCTACATGTGTAGCTACTTGTGCTACTCGGATAATCCGGCACTGTCAAGCATCCACTCAAACAAAATTTTTTTAGCAACAGCAGCGCCGCCCGTTTAAAGGCTCGGTGACGCGCTACCGGCAGAGACTCCATTGGCTGCGCTAAGCGACGTGGCTTATCCAGAGGCGAGCGCCTGGCTGAGCTCACACACCTCCCACAACACCCATCCACTACCAGCATCCTCTTTCCCACCCAGCATTCCTCCTCCCACTTACTCACGAGTCACGACTGTCGCCGCCACTGATCCTCCCTCCTCCTTACACTGCCACCATCCTCCTCGGCGTTGTCGTTGGCGAGGCAGGCGCTTGGGTTTGTTTGACGCCAAGTAAATAAATGCTCGGCAAGCAATAGAAAGTGTACACAAGACGCAGATGACGCTGTCTCTGCCATCATCATCATCCCGACCACGAATAAACAAGTACAAGCCATCAATCTCGACCACCACGATCAATAACCACGAATTATCGCGAAGATTACTAACCACCAGTCATCACTACCACTAACCACCAGGAACCACCACTAACCAATCATCACCATTAACCACCAATACTTATCAGCACTAACCAGCAATCATTACTACTAACCACCAGTCACATTAACCACCAATCACATTAACCAACACTAATCATCAGCACTAACCAGAAATCGTCACCACTAACCGCCAATCATTACCACCAATTAGCAGTACTAACCAATCATTACTACTCGCCACCAATAATCATCAACACTAACCAGCAACCATTACCACTAACCACCAATCATTACCACTAACCACCAATAACTATCAGAACTTACCACCAATCATCAGCACTGACCACCAATAACCATCAGCACTGACCACCAATAACCATCAGCACTGACCACCAATCATCAGAAATGACCACCAATCATCAGCAATGACCACCAATAACCATCAGCACTGACCACCAATCATCAGAAATGACCACCAATCATCAGCACTGACCACCAATCATCAGCAATGACCAGCAATCATAACCACCACTGACCACCACCAATCACCACCACCGCCACCACCACCACCACCGACCACCCCCTGGTTAAAGTCCTCCCGGCTGGCCGCCCCTCGTGTCGTCAGCGCACAGGAAGGAGGAGGAGGAGGGGCGCTACAAGACGCGCCTCGCACTGCCCAGCAACGGCATCTGCGGCGTGAGCGCGCGGGCGGAGCCGAGACTGCAAGCGTGCAGCAAGCAGCAGCAGCATCAGCTGACTGTCAGGGCTTAAACAAACGAGTGGCCCCCTCGCCTCGTCCAAACGAATCGTCGTCTCTCCGCTGCTTCGTCTCCCCCGCGCGTGAAGGAAGCCGGCACGGCCATGGAGCTTATGGACGTCGGCGGGACCGATCGCATGCTCTGGGAGCCCAGCATCGCCGACTTTGGGGATGACGCCGACTTCATGGGGAGCGTCGTAAGTGGTTTTTGTTTTGCTCTTCCGCCTCCTCGCTTCATTCACTCGCGTTGTCCTTAAGCGTCGGTGGTGGTGGTGACTTTTTGTTGTGTGGACCGCACTGAGTTGGTTGAACCTTGCACCTTACGCCGTGTTACTGGTGGTGGTGGATGATGATTGATGATGGTGATCGACGTGATCTGTCAGGCATGAATGATCGACTCTCGTGGGTGATATCGTCGGGAGGCGAAAGCGAAGCTGGCTTGAACCTCGTTTGTCTTTTTTATTTTCACGGATGGGAGGCTGTCTGGGAATGCAACCGGGTGCAACCACGAGATTGTCAGTCAATAAATGACTGGAGGGCAATGGATTGTTGAATCTATCTGTGCGGAGCTTTGAGTGTCACTACTCCCCTCCCGTATACGGGGGGGGGGGTGGTTTTTTCCGACTTCTCCGGCTTTTGTCTTTAAACAAAACGAAACCAAACACCTCCTGTACTCGTGAGTCTTCACGCCAAAACATCTGCGCGAGTGTTGTGGAGCAAAGTGAAGACGCTCCCGACACAAACGGAGTCTCGATATTCAGCGAGACCCCCCCCCCCTCCGGCTAAAGGGGCAAAGACAATGATCCCCCCGTATAGCCTTAACAGACTGTAGGGGCAAGTGCTGTTAGCGAGCACCTATAAAGGCCGGCACGGCACACGAGGGAGTGGGTGGCCAACACCACGCCCGGCCGCCTTTGTCTCCCTAGTAGCGATGTTTACACATCGCACCAGGGTACTCATTTAAGGCTGAGTCGGTCTAGGGGAGGCCCAGGACCAGTTCAGATAGTCGTCACTTGTGTTGGCCGTGAGCGGGAATCGAACCTGGGTCGCCAGGTTCGTAGCGTAGAGCAGCGCTAACCACTACACTACCGCTCCCCATGAAGGGGCACACACACAGACACACACACGCACAGACACACACAGACACACACACGCTCGACTTGATGGGTGGTGGTGGTGGGTGGTAGAATGCAATGAAGGAAATGGCTCCGGCGTCGTGCTGGAATGTGTGCGTCTCGTATAAGGAAAAATACCAAAAAAATGGGGCGGCTGTGTCGATGGAATGCAAATTACCGTGATGCCATTTGGGAGGCAACAATGTTCAAGTCCATCCTGTCTCGAGAGCGACTCCCCGTGTGCCCGTGCGTGTGTGTCCGCGTGTGTGTCCGTGCGTGTGCCCGTATGTGTGTCCGTGCGTGTGTCCGTGTGTGTCCGTGCGTGTGTGTCCGCGTGTGTGCCCGTGCGTGTGTGTCCGCGTGTGTGCCCGTGCGTGTGTGTCCGTGCGTGTGTCCGCGCGTGTGTGTCCGCGTGTGGGCCCGTGCGTGGTGGAGGAATGTGGAATGCGGGCGCGGTTGCGTTTTATACAAAAAATTAAAATGCTTCAATCCATCAATTAAAACTCGCACAGAGAGTCTCGTATAGAACAATAAAGAGCATTTGGTATTTCATTGTTGCGTTTGATGCGTTGTAAATGTCGTGCTTTTACTCTACAACACACAGATGTTGCCGTACTCAAATTTGGCACGTTTTGTTTACGTGACAAACCTGACTTAAATGGCTGCGTCGGGTGGTGGCGGGTTTCACGACACATTTACATTTACGTGATATAACCCCAACCCCCCCCCCCCCTCTCGACAATAGATAACGGCGTTTCGTTGGCAGAGGCGCACACGAACAGATACTGTAATGACACAACATCCCACATCACGTCCTCATCAACACGACCCTAATTAGGCGACTTTTAAGAATAAGGTTCATTGCCTAAAACGTTGCCTGTTACCGTGTGTACGGTATATGTCTGCGCTTCGGGGCGGTGTTATTTTCAAACGTTGTTGAGTTTTGTTTTGTTTGTTTGTTAAAGTCGAACTTGAGAATCAATTTTAACAGCCGTATGGATTGCGAACATCTGCAGCGATTCCTCGCAAATGGAATAACAAAGGGAATGCGTGTTCACGTCATGTTGTCTGTGTGTTCAACGCATGTTGTCTGTGTGTTCACGTCATGTTGTCTGTGTGTTCACGGCATTGTTGTCTGTGTGTTCACGGCATTGTTGTCTGTGTGTTCACGTCATGTTGTTTGCGTGCCTCTCGACAGCTCATTGTACTCCAGGGTGGCCCAGATGTCTTGTGACACCCCCATTTAATTATCTGAATTATTTTGTTGTTAATTTATTTAAAACGGAAATGAATATTGCAAATGGAACAAATGTTAGGGGTAAATTAATTGGGGGGGGGGGGTCACAAGACATCTGGACCACCCTCTAGATGTAACGGCCCTTTGTTTAATCAGCTGCTGGATGAGGGCCTCCCATCAACATCACGTGACTTTATTTGACCATACTTCACCACGCCGTGCAGCGCGTACGGTGGGGGGTTAATTTATGTTTTATGTTCAGCAGAAATGACTCCCAATGCAATCTTGCCCAGTGGCACATCGGGGTTAACGCGTCAAGAGTAGTACTTACCAACAACAAAACGTTTCAAGCTTAAAGCGTGCCCTTTTTGGGATCGATTCATCCTGTAATACCACTAGCGGATATGTAGATAAAATAAGTATCGCTTTGTAGACAGTCGAAGGTGAACGTGGTAAGAATGGACTGGCCGCTGCCAGAGGAATGTGGAATTTACACCGCTGGCTCGGGGAGATGAGCGTTGCAGCCAGATTTGAGAAGGAAACCACTTTTACCTTTTTGTGTGTCTCATTAAAACAGATCGCGACGGCTTGGGGAAGGAAGGAAAGAGGGCGTCACGTTTATTCATGGCTGATGATGATGATTTAATCGGGGCTGCGGATGAATCGCGAACAGTGCCAGCACACGCTGTTTTTTTAATATCTCGTGGGCAGCAATGGATGTAAATGCTGGTTGTTGTAATGTCCCGATGGTCACCGGTTGGGACTGAGACGGTAGGGATAGCGGTGCTCACACTTAGTTCTGATTAACTCATTGGGCGATGTGTAGCACAATAACGATGATCGCAATTTACATTACGGTGAGATTTGTGTTTAACACAAAACACAAATTTAGCAAGGACAAATGACAGCAATTATTATGAAATCTAATGTACTCTACATCGAATGCAATGAAACGTAGCATAACAGTGAAAAGCAAAACGAGATGCAAAATATATATTGAACGAATATTTTAATTAAATAAATGCAATGGAAAGTGGAGCATGAGTATTCAACAACAAAAACGCCAAAATAAACACAGACGCATTTTTGTTGTATAAATGACCTCCCCCCCCACTGCCCCCCCCACCCGATCCCCACCACCGTCATGGGTCCGGACAAATCGGGCTGAGAGCCACGCGCACCGGACTCAGAATGAGTTGTACGCCGATTATGGTCATGGCGACGACGGTTGCAGATAAGGGGTCCTCTGTGCATTTGCATGAACGTGTCCTGCACGTGTCCTGCACGTGTGTGTGTGGTTTTATGATGAAAGAGGAGGCTTGGTGCGTCCCCCTCGGCTGGGTCGTGGGTTGGAGCGTCCGTACATGTTGGCACACGCGCGGTGTGCATACGCACGTGTGCGAGGCGGCGATTGGTTACCAAATCAGTACGGCACGTCTCGGAAGCTAAGCATGTTTGAGCCTGGTTAGCCCGTGAATGGGAGATTGCTTGGGAATACCAAGGTGGTGTAAGCTTGGGCTGTGGAGTGGCCAAGAGATGCCAGAACAGCAATGCATTCTGGAATATATTTAAACTGAATTACTTTTAAACTATATTTGTATTTTTTATTTTTGCCAGGTAAGGCCCACTGAGCTATATAGCTCTTTTGCAGAAACGACTTGGCTATCGAAAAATTATATCTCCACGAATTTATCATCATGTGTAAATGTAGAGCACTGAACACTCTAAGCGCGTGATGTTGATTCTAAATGTGGAGGGGAAAAACGGGAAGACCCGGAGAAAAATCCACGCGACCATGAGGAGAACATGCATATTCCAAATATACAAGCGTCAGGTTCGGGTTTCCATCCCACGACCTCCTGCATACCAGGCGAGAGAGTTAACATCTCCCCACTGCGGCGCCTCGATCTGTATGGAGTTTCAAAGCCCCCTCGAGAGCGTGGCTTTTCTCCTATCAGAAAGTTTTGAGGAATATTTATTTTCATTTAAGTACCGTTTTAATTTTGGTTTAACTTAACAGAACAGTAATTCCATCTGTTTAGCCAGGAACGTTTAACATGTGGGCTTTTGCGACCAACGTTTTGATTCGTAATTGATTTCTGGGATACAAACGTGAGGCCACTTAATGGTTATTAAACATAATCCTGCTGGTGAAACTAAAGAAACTATAAAAGAGAATTGCGTTTCTCAAAGTTTCAGGCCCATATCTCCTGTATAATGATATATACATGGTTATCTACGTGAGTGGTGACCGGGCATTGTTCCGACACCTCCCCTAGGTCGACTCAACCTCAAATGAGTACCTGGTGCGGTGTGTAAACATCGCCACTGGGGAGACAAAAGGGGCCACCCACGCCCTTCATGTGCTCTGCCATCCTTAATAGGTGCTCGCAAACAGCACTTGCACCAAAAGTCTGTTTAGGCTATAGGGGGATCTTTGTCTTGTTGTGTATGTGGTGGCCTGGCATTGTGCCAGCAACGCCTCACCAAATCCAGATTGACACCACCACCCCCTCGTGTGCAGTGGTGATGTGACCCTCTTATAGACAGACACTCGCTTAGCAGCACTTTCCCCAACAGTCTGCAGGAGCTATGTGGGTGATCTTTATCTTTGTCCGAGTCTTGTTTGGTTAAGGAGTTCAGTCAGGGTAGCACAATGTTTAAGTGTAAAGTGTGTTGCATGAGAAAGGCCACGTGTTTGCCACAAACATCTGGATGCCATATGCGCCGCCGTCGCGCCAGTCTTTGTGTTATTTATGGTATTTGTGTATACAGCCGTTTGTGTTGTTTACGTGTGTAGCCGCACTGTGTGTGTGTGTTTGTGTACAAAGGCGGCCGGGCGTGG